CCCCCATGTTTTCTTGTAGTAGTTTCACAATTTGAGGTCTTAAAGTTTTTAATCCATTTTGATTTTTTGTATATAGTGAGAGATAGGGGTCCAGTTTCATTCTCCTGCATATCCAGTTGTCCCAACACCATTTATTGAAGAGACTGTCTTTTCCCCAATGTATGTTCTTGGTACCTTTATTGAAAATGAGTTCACTGTAGATGTGTGGGTTTCTTTCTGGGTTCTCTATTTTGTTCCATTGGTCTTTGTGTCTGTTTTATACCAGTACTTATCCCAGTACCATGTCGTTTTGGTTACTGTATGTCTGCAGTATAATTTGAAGTCAGGTAATGTGATTTCTCCAGTTTTCTTCTTTTTGCACAGGATAGCTTTGGCTATTCTAGGTCTTTTGTGGTTCCATATAAATTGTAGTACTTTTTTTTTTTTTCTATTTCTGTGATGAGTGAAGAATGTTATTGGTATTTTGATAGGGAATGTATTAAATCTGTTGATTGATTTGAGGAGTATGAACATTTTAACAACATTGATTCTTCCCATCCATGAACATGGAATATTTTTTCATATTTTTGTGCCCTCGTCAATTTCTAGCATCAGTGTTTTATAGTTTTTCTTACATAGATCTTTCACTTCTTTGGCTAATTCCTAAGGGTTTAATTTTATTTGTAGCTATTATAAATGAGATTACTTTCCTGATTTCTTTTTCAGATCGTTTGCTCCTGGCATATAGAAATGCTACTGATGTTTGTATGTTGATCTTGTATCCTGCAACTTTACTAAAGAATTTGTTTATCAGTTCTAATAGTTTTTTGATGGAGTCTTTAGGTTTTTCCAAATATAAGATCGTATCTTCTACAAACAAGGAGAATTTGACCTCTTCCTTTCTGATGTGGATGTCCTTTATTTCTTTCTCTTATCTGATTGCTCGAGCTAGGACTTCCAGTACTATGTTGAATAACAGTGATAGGGGAGAGATGGGGGTCCAGTTTCATTCTTCTGCATATCCAGTTGTCCCAACACCGTTTATTGAAGAGACTGTCTTTCCCCAGTGTACATTCTTGATACCTTCATTGAAAATGAGTTCGCTGTAGATGTGTGGGTTTCTTTCTGGGTTGTCTATTCTGTTCCATTGGTCTTTGTGTCTGTTTTATACCAGTACCACGTCATTTTGGTTATTATATGTCAGTAGTATAATTTGAAGTCAGGTAATGTGATTTGAAATAACAGTGATGAAAGCAAAAGGGGGCATCCTTGTCATGTTCCAAGTCTTAGAGAAAACCCTTTCACTTTTTCCCCATTCAGTGTGACACTAGCTGTGGGTCTGTCATACAGGGTTTTTATTATGTAGAGGTATGTTTCTTGTATACCCAGTTTTTTGAGGGTTTTCACGATGAAGGAATGTTGAATTTTATCAAATGCCTTTTTGGCATCAATTGAAATGATCATATTGTTTTTATCCTTCATTCTGTTGATATGATGTATCACAATGATAGATTTGCATATGTTGAACCATCCTTGCATCCCAGGGATAAATCCCACTTGGTCATGATGAATGATCTTTCTAATATATTGTTGAATTCCATTTGCTACTATTTTGTTGAGGATGTTTGCATCAATTTTCATCAGAAATATTGGCCAGCAGGTAGGTTTTGTTTGTTTGTTTTGATGTGTCTTT